GAACTAACAGAACTTTCTCAAAAGAAGAAATTCAAATAGAAAAAAAAAAACCATGAAAAAATGCTCACCATCTCTAGCAATAAAGGAAATGCAAATTAAAACCACACTAAGATTCCACCTCACCCATGTTAGAATAGCCATCATTAGCAACACCACTAACAACCGGTGTTGGCAAGGATTCAGGGGAAAAAGAACCCTTTTACACTGCTGGTGGGAATGTAAACTAGTACAACCACTCTGGAAAAAAATTTGGAGGCTTCATAAAAATCTAAACATAGATCTACCATATGATCCAGCAATACCACTCTTGGGGATATATCCAAAAGAATGTGACACAGGTTACTCCAGAGGCACTTGCACACCCATGTTTATTGCAACACTATTCATAATAGCCAATTTATGGAAACAGCCAAGATGCCCTACTACTGATGAATGGATTAGGAAAATGTGGTATTTATATACGTGGAATTTTATGCAGCCATGAAGAAGAATGAACTGTTATCACTTGCAAGTAAATGGATGGAACTGGAGAACATCATTGTGAGTGAGGTTAGCCTGGCCCAAAAGACCAAAAATCATATGTTCTCCCTCATATGCATACATTAGATCAAGGGCAAACACAACAAGGGGATTGGACTTTGATCACATGATAAACAGAAAGCACACTTGGGAGGTATGAGGATAGGTAAGACACTAAAAAAATCTAGATAGCATTTGTTGCCCTCAATGCAGAGAAACTAATGCAGATACTTTAAAGTGACAGAGGCCAATAGGAGAAGCACACCAGGAACTAGAGAAAAGGTTAGTTTGAGAAGAATTAATTTAGAAGGTAACACACATCCACAGGAAAGCAATGCAAGTTAACTCCTTGTATAGCTATTCTTATCTCAACTAGCAAAAACCCTTGGTCCTTCCTATTATTGCTTACACTCTCTCTTCAACAAAATTAGAGATAAGGGCAAAATAGTTTTTGCCTGGTAGGGAGGGGGTAGTGGGGGAGAGGAACAGGGACAGGGGAAGGGAGGGGGTGAGGGGAAGGGGGGAGAAATGACCCAAACATTGTATGCACATATGAATAAAAGAAATTAAAAAAAATCCTAACAGCTTCAGGAGATTTCTGACATTGAAGAATGGGAAAATGAAGATCTTGGGGCACCACTTGAGAAGCCAATCCTGAAGGAGTTCTGCACTGTGGAGGTGGTACTGCTGCTCTGACTGCAGCAGTCCTGGAGCTAGCATCGGGAGGAGCCTCTAGGTGAACTGAAGGAAGGTCTGTTCTTGGTGCAAAGGAAAAGGAGCTCTCTTTTTGCCTTTCTTTCTTAAACTTACTTTTTAGCTACCTCTCAGGGCCTTCTCTTGCTAAGCTACTAGTTCTAGCAGAGTTTCTATGCCTTACATCACAGGTTTTCCCTTTAGGAAACACCTAACAGAATGTTTCAATTTAAAATTTGACAGCAGGCTTCCTGCCTAGAAGCTTAGGAGGGCATAGGAAATAATGTTTCTCTAGTTGTTGGTTAAAAATTTGCTTTATGCTAAAATAGTTATTCAAATACAGATCTCTTCAGTTACATCATCAAACTCACCATCTAAAGATTTCCATAGACTCCTATATAAATGTTTAATTCTTTGCCTACTCGTGAAAGGGCTTGAGCAGAAAAAGATCAAGAATAGATACCTAGAATTGGCTCTCTGATTGATACTGAGTTGTTTTTCTTTTCCTTTTTTTTTTTGGAACCTATGCCCTTGAGATTTAGGGTTTAAGTCAGAGGCACTGCTGTTAGCTAATGCAGTAGAGCAGGCTTCTATGGCTAATGCACAGGTAGGAGCCAAAGCATCTGTTCTCCCACCAAACCTTTCTCAGTGCATATGATGGAAGAAGGCAAGGGTCTGTAGGGGGTAGAGAATCCACTTGTCAATTTGAAATCTGTGGATGATATGAGACTTGTGCCAAGTTCTCAGGTTAAATCCACCTTCTGGTACATCAGGACCTTCTAGAATAGATTGAGGCAGTGAAAATAGACCCTAACAGGATGTACCTGCAGCAGAGCCATGCAGCTAAACCCTGTGCTGTCTACTTATAATCACAAGGAGAATCATCTGAGAATCGTGTGTGTATTTTTATTTTTAAACATAAAACAGTTATTACTCATACAAATATTTAAAATCTGTCTGGTTGGATATAGGACCCTCATCATTCCTTATGAAAAGGAAAACAGCACAGAAGGTGGCTATTCAGAGGGCTTTGTCAGATGCCTTCCAGAAACTGACTGTTGGAGTTTTAGGTAAGACTTTCTTGATTGTCCTTGAAGGACTTCAGTTTCAATGAGAAAATAAACTCACTGTGAAAAGGTAAATGGGTGAAAATGTGGATATCTAAAACACTCCATATTATGCTTTCATTCACTAAATTCTTTCAGTAACAATGGTCTCATTCATTCCTTGTGACATTTGTGAGAAAAATGACTGCAAATATTGTCTCTGTAGACCAAAAGCCTAATGGCTCTTAGTTTGCTTTGAGGAAAGTTGTATTGTGTATAAGATACATGGTGCAGTGTCTGCCAATAAAAGTTTCTAATGCTTTCTCTAGAGCTGTGCACATTGTATCCAGTGGATTTTTGGTTGGTAGGAAGTACAGAATTGCCCCTTGCTTCTAATGTGAGCTGTCTACTAGTCCAGTGGTCTCTCTAACAGTTTTGAACTCACTTTGCCCCCACCCCGTGTCTTACTATTTAATCTTTGAACATTTGTGAATCCAAATTCCTCATTATTCTTAGTGTCTGTCCCTAAAATTACAAAGTTCTTTGAAGCAAACACAGTTGCTATTTCAATATGTGTTTTCAAACAAGTGTTTATGTTAGAAATTGTAGTGTAAAATGAGGACATTTTTAGGAAAATCTTTTCCCTTTCTGCTTTTTGAAGTTCAAGGACCATCTCATGCCAGGCATGCTGTAATCTCAGCATGGGGAGGCTGAGGCAAGAGCACTGTGAGTTCAAGACCAGCCTGAGCTACACAATGAGACTTTGTTTCCAAAGGAAGAAAACTAGAAAAATTTAAAAATTGAAAAGAATGACTCATATTATTGGGTGCTACCATTATATGCAGGGTGTTTAGAACAAGAAAAAATTCTCAATTCATCCTTATTAACTTTATTTCAATAGTAGTAAAAGAGCTAAAGAATATAGACCCATTGAAAAGACAGTAATGCTCGAAGTGAAGAATAACTACATGAGTTAATTCAAGTACGTGGAGAGGAAAGCTCCTTAGCCAGTGTAACATGACTGAAAATAGCCAACAGGATTTAGAGGACTTGGGCATGTATCATTCTTAGCAAAATGGGAAACTCTGGAACTGAATTGAATACAGGGAATTTCTGGGGCTTGTCGTAAACTCCCAGTCTTGACTCTGAGCTCTTGTTTGAAGTACAGAGAGCAGGAATGAGGCCTCTAAGTACTAGTACAGTTGTGGATCCAGTAGAGGGCTAGGCTCCCTCAGGGCTTTGAGAGGCCAGGATGCTGGAACATAAAATCTTTTTAGAACTCTTCCCAAACAGGATCCCAGATATTGGGAACAAAGTAACAACTTCAGCCTTATGCCATTATGTTGCAGCTGTGAAAACCATTATGCCTTTCAAATATGTAGTACTGCCTAAATCTCAGCATCTCCCCATGTCTCGAGGAGAATATTTTGCCTTCCAAAGAACCTTTCTATAAATCAATTGTATGAAAGTCCTTAAGTTGCCAAGGTAATTTCTAGAAAGAAATAGACATTACTTACTATGTATAAGATGTGTTCAAAGGGGAGGAGCAAAAGGTGTGTTTCATGTCAGTGGGAACTTAATTTGGGGATTTTTGATCATTTATCTTACCCTGAAGCTGTGAAATGTTTTGTTTTCAAACGGTAGAGAGAAAGCTGAAAAAGCATTTGAAGCTTTTTCAATTTAAAATAATTAGTTTAGTTCAGTTTAAATGAAACCAGTTAAAGACACTTCACACTTTAGGAGGATTTCTGTGAAATGAGAAAGAAGTCAGCATTGATTGTAGAAATCTGATTATAACAGATCCATCCTTAAATGAGGTGACTTTTGGAATCTGTTTCATTTTAAAACCATCAGCATGTGTCCAGCCCTGTGCAAGGCGAGGGGAATAAACAGGATGAAGCCTGTTCTGGCACTTTACATGCTAGGTGGTGGTGGACAATAAACATACAGTAAAATAGATCATTGTAAGAAGGGTTCTGAACGAAGCCAATGTCTTGTCCACATATGCACATGGGGTAGACCTCTGAAACGTGGTGGTGTCACAGCTAGATTCTCACTGCGTTGAGCCAAGGCAGAGGGGGGGATGCTTTCCCAAGCCGATGTAAGGGCTATCTCAGATTCTAACCCTCTGTGTCAGGCTGAATTGCCCACGGCCCAAGACCCCTCCTGCAGAGCTTTTGGAGTCATCCCTGATTCTCTGGTAGCCCCAACTAAGGGAGTGGTGGATCATGAACCATGGCACTGGGAGTTTAGAGGAAATGGCAGCGTTGTGGAATAAATAACCTTAATGTGCGTTCTCTTGCCTGCACCCTAACTGGCCCTGGTTTCGCAGGTGAGTTGCTTCTCTTAGGTTCAGCCAAGGGGTGGAAGAGTATCTCTGGGTGTCAGCTCGGAAGAGGAGGAGCTCAGGCTGCCAGAACCAGATGAGCCCTGGGAACATCCCCGGAGCCCCGCCCTGCCGAACCCCCCACAGTGGGCTGCTGTGCCCAGGTCTGAGTTCCATCCCCTCCTCGCTGTCGGGGAGGGGCCCTGTACAAGGCTTTGCGCCTCCTCTAGGGGAAAGGAGTTTGGGTCCTTACTGCAGGGCGTGGAGCCCAACTGGGCTGAGCCTTTAAAAAGTTTCTGTTCCCTAAACAATGATGTCATAAAGAAAGGGTGGGGCGGGGTAGGCGCTGTGCCAAGGTGAGCTAGGGAAGAAGCTGCCGGAGGCTTTACTCCCTTGACTCTCGCTTAGTCTACGACATGTCCGTGTTGCGTGTCATGTCCCCTCTAACGATTTGGGCCCCAAGGCTCCTTTTTATGTCTTTAGAATTGTGGCTTTTGGTCCAGGGTTTTCCCATTCCGAGGAAGGCCCAGGACTCGGTCCAGCTGACCTCCAAAGTGCGGGGGCCAATGGAGCCCTGGTCCTCACACTCCTTGGACCTCCTTCCCGACTCGCCCCAGATGCTCACACCCCGGGCAGACCGGGGGGACTTTGATTATCTGGGGGCATCTGCTGCCTCGCAGGTGCTCGCCCCACCTCATTTATTGACTGACAGTTTGCTTCCGTTCCTGGATCGGGATTCTACTAGGCAGCCATCTCCAGAGCCAGATCCATTTGCTGTTGCACAGCAGGAGCTGAATGACAAGCTAAATCTGCCTGAGAGACCCCCAGAAGCGGTGCCGATGCCCAATGGAGACCAGAATCAGGCCCCAGCTCTGCCTCCTCTACTCAAAAGTAAGACTCAGACTGTCAGTGTTGATCAAGCTTCGGATGGCCAAGCATTTGATATTCTTGTTCCACCTCTTGATCGTCAGATTTCAAAACTAGCAAAGTTTATTGTTTCACGCTGGAAACTGAAGAAGGATGCTGCTCGACATCAGGGACTTGATGAGACTGTGGCTGGAACTCCATACCAATTTGCAAACCTTAAGCTTCAGACACAACCCTTGCAGGATGACTACATAGATCCAGGAATGAGCACAGCTGATTCTGACAGCCCTCCTCTAAAACTCCAGGAGAGCACAGATGAGCCTCCAGAACCCCTTGAACAAGTTGAACCTTCTTCAGTCCAGCAAGAAGCCCCAGTTCAACAATTTAGTAGTGAGGAGGTAGAGCAATCAGTACACCACAAGGTAAATGCTCCATCTCCAAATGTGAATGAAGCTCAGCCTTCAAACGTGCCAAAAGTCACCATGAAACATGTTGATCTGGAGGTTACACTAACTACAGGGCCTTCTCCAAGCCACCAGCAGGCCTCAGAGAATACTAAGGACATAACACCCTTATCCACCCAACAAGTGGCTCCAGCTCAGACTTCAGAGCTCCCTGAAGACACCGAACCTTCTGGAGGCCAGATGGAAGCCCCAGTTCAGCCTACAGAGCGTCCTGAAGAAGTCAAACCTCCTGTTGATCAAGAGGCTACCACTGAAGCTCCAGAGTCCCCTATGGAGAGTACAGCTCCAAGTCAGGAGGTGACAGTTCAACCTCCAGCTCAGGATCAACCTGAAGAGAATATCTTGCCCAGTGTTACGGGTAAGCCCGTGGATGTGGAAATCACCACAACTTCAGAGCCTACCAAGGAGGCTACATCTTCTCTAGCCCAGGCAGAGGCCCCAGATCAGCCTTCTGAATCCCTTGGGGAGGCTGAAACTTCAGGAACCCATCTGCAGTCCCCAGTTCAGCCTCCAGAGTATGGTGAGGAGCTTCAACCTTCTCCAACCCAGAAAGTGGTCCTACCTCAGCCTTCAGGCCCTCTTTCAGAGACTGAAACTTCTCTCATTGAGCAAGAACAGCCAGCTCAACCTTCTGAGCCTCCTGAGGAATCAGAACCTTCTGGAAGCCTGGCAGAAGCTCCAGTTCAGCCTGCAAAGCCATCTGAGGAAGTCAAGCCTTCAGTTGAGCAAGAGGCTGCAGTTCCACCTCCAGCTCAGAATCAAGCTGAAGAGAGTATCTTGCCCAGTGTTACGGGTAAGCCTGTGGATGTGGAAATCACCACAACTTCAGAGCCTACCAAGGAGGCTACATCTTCTCTAGCCCAGGCAGAGGCCCCAGCTCAGCCTTCTGAATCACTTGGGGAGGCTGAAACTTTAGGAACCCATCTGCAGTCCCCAGTTCAGCCTCCAGAGTATGGTGAGGAGCTTCAACCTTCTCCAACCCAGAAAGTGGTCCCACCTCAGCCTTCAGGCCCTCTTTCAGAGACTGAAACTTCTCTCAGTGAGCAAGAACAGCCAGCTCAACCTTCTGAGCCTCCTAAGGAATTGGAACCTTCTGGAAGCCTGGCAGAAGCTCCAATTCAGCCTGCAAAGCCATCTGAGGAAGTCAAGCCTTCAGTTGAGCAAGAGGCTCCAGTTCCACCTCCAGCTCAGAATCAAGCTGAAGAGAGTATCTTGCCCAGTGTTACGGGTAAGCCTGTGGATGTGGAAATCACCACAACTTCAGAGCCTACCAAGGAGGCTACATCTTCTCTAGCCCAGGCAGAGGCCCCAGCTCAGCCTTCTGAATCCCCTGGGGAGGCTGAAACTTCTGAAACCCAGGTGCAGTCCCCAATTCAGCCTCCACAGTATGGTGAGGAGCTTCAACCTTTTCCAACCCAGCAAGTGGTCCCACCTCAGCCTTCAGGCCCTCTTTCAGAGACTGAAACTTCTCTCAGTGAGCAAGAACAGCCAGCTCAACCTTCTGAGCCTCCTAAGGAATTGGAACCTTCTGGAAGCCTGGCAGAAGCTCCAATTCAGCCTGCAAAGCCATCTGAGGAAGTCAAGCCTTCAGTTGAGCAAGAGGCTCCAGTTCCACCTCCAGCTCAGAATCAAGCTGAAGAGAGTATCTTGCCCAGTGTTACGGGTAAGCCTGTGGATGTGGAAATCACCACAACTTCAGAGCCTACCAAGGAGGCTACATCTTCTCTAGCCCAGGCAGAGGCCCCAGCTCAGCCTTCTGAATCCCCTGGGGAGGCTGAAACTTCTGAAACCCAGGTGCAGTCCCCAATTCAGCCTCCACAGTATGGTGAGGAGCTTCAACCTTTTCCAACCCAGCAAGTGGTCCCACCTCAGCCTTCAGGCCCTCTTTCAGAGACTGAAACTTCTCTCAGTGAGCAAGAACAGCCAGCTCAACCTTCTGAGCCTCCTAAGGAATTGGAACCTTCTGGAAGCCTGGCAGAAGCTCCAATTCAGCCTGCAAAGCCATCTGAGGAAGTCAAGCCTTCAGTTGAGCAAGAGGCTGCAGTTCCACCTCCAGCTCAGAATCAAGCTGAAGAGAGTATCTTGCCCAGTGTTACGGTAAGCCTGTGGATGTGGAAATCACCACAACTTCAGAGCCTACCAAGGAGGCTACATCTTCTCTAGCCCAGGCAGAGGCCCCAGCTCAGCCTTCTGAATCCCTTGGGGAGGCTGAAACTTCAGGAACCCATCTGCAGTCCCCAGTTCAGCCTCCAGAGTATGGTGAGGAGCTTCAACCTTCTCCAACCCAGAAAGTGGTCCCACCTCAGCCTTCAGGCCCTCTTTCAGAGACTGAAACTTCTCTCAGTGAGCAAGAACAGCCAGCTCAACCTTCTGAGCCTCCTAAGGAATTGGAACCTTCTGGAAGCCTGGCAGAAGCTCCAATTCAGCCTGCAAAGCCATCTGAGGAAGTCAAGCCTTCAGTTGAGCAAGAGGCTGCAGTTCCACCTCCAGCTCAGAATCAAGCTGAAGAGAGTATCTTGCCCAGTGTTACGGGTAAGCCTGTGGATGTGGAAATCACCACAACTTCAGAGCCTACCAAGGAGGCTACATCTTCTCTAGCCCAGGCAGAGGCCCCAGCTCAGCCTTCTGAATCACTTGGGGAGGCTGAAACTTCAGGAACCCATCTGCAGTCCCAGTTCAGCCTCCAGAGTATGGTGAGGAGCTTCAACCTTCTCCAACCCAGAAAGTGGTCCCACCTCAGCCTTCAGGCCTCTTTCAGAGACTGAAACTTCTCTCAGTGAGCAAGAACAGCCAGCTCAACCTTCTGAGCCTCCTAAGGAATTGGAACCTTCTGGAAGCCTGGCAGAAGCTCCAATTCAGCCTGCAAAGCCATCTGAGGAAGTCAAGCCTTCAGTTGAGCAAGAGGCTGCAGTTCCACCTCCAGCTCAGAATCAAGCTGAAGAGAGTATCTTGCCCAGTGTTACGGGTAAGCCTGTGGATGTGGAAATCACCACAACTTCAGAGCCTACCAAGGAGGCTACATCTTCTCTAGCCCAGGCAGAGGCCCCAGCTCAGCCTTCTGAATCACTTGGGGAGGCTGAAACTTCAGGAACCCATCTGCAGTCCCCAGTTCAGCCTCCAGAGTATGGTGAGGAGCTTCAACCTTCTCCAACCCAGAAAGTGGTCCCACCTCAGCCTTCAGGCCCTCTTTCAGAGACTGAAACTTCTCTCAGTGAGCAAGAACAGCCAGCTCAACCTTCTGAGCCTCCTAAGGAATTGGAACCTTCTGGAAGCCTGGCAGAAGCTCCAATTCAGCCTGCAAAGCCATCTGAGGAAGTCAAGCCTTCAGTTGAGCAAGAGGCTGCAGTTCCACCTCCAGCTCAGAATCAAGCTGAAGAGAGTATCTTGCCCAGTGTTACGGGTAAGCCTGTGGATGTGGAAATCACCACAACTTCAGAGCCTACCAAGGAGGCTACATCTTCTCTAGCCCAGGCAGAGGCCCCAGCTCAGCCTTCTGAATCACTTGGGGAGGCTGAAACTTCAGGAACCCATCTGCAGTCCCCAGTTCAGCCTCCAGAGTATGGTGAGGAGCTTCAACCTTCTCCAACCCAGAAAGTGGTCCCACCTCAGCCTTCAGGCCCTCTTTCAGAGACTGAAACTTCTCTCAGTGAGCAAGAACAGCCAGCTCAACCTTCTGAGCCTCCTAAGGAATTGGAACCTTCTGGAAGCCTGGCAGAAGCTCCAATTCAGCCTGCAAAGCCATCTGAGGAAGTCAAGCCTTCAGTTGAGCAAGAGGCTCCAGTTCCACCTCCAGCTCAGGATCAAGGTCAACAGGATACCTCGCCCAGTGTTACGGGTAAGCCTGTGGATGTGGAAATCACCATAACTCCAGAGCCTACCCAGGAGGCTGCATCTTCTCCAACTCAGCCTTCAGAGTTTGCTGAAGGGGCAGAACCTTCTCCCAGTGAGAAGGAACAAGCAGTTGAGCCGTCTGTGTCTCCTGGGGAGGCTCAGCCTTCTGGAATTCACATGACTGCTCCAGCCCAGGCCTCAGAGAGTGCTGAGGAGTCTGAACCTCCTCCACCCCAGCAGGAACAACAGGCTCAGTCCTCAGTGTCCTCCGAACAGTCTGAAGCTTTGATAACCCAGCATGAGACTACAACTCAGAAGCCAGAACCCTGGGAGAAGGATGAACTTTCTCCAATCAATCAAGGGGCTACAGCTCAGCCAGAAGAGCTTCCTGAGGAACCTTCTCCAAGCCAGCAGGAGAGCTCAGTTCCTCCTGTAATGCCCTCTGTGAATACTGAACTTTCACCAATTCAGCCACAACTCCCAACTCAGTCTCCAGAATCCTCTGAGATTAGTGATCTTCCTCCATTGGGAGATAGCATATCATTTTCACCTCAAGATCTAGAAATAATGTTTAGAAAGCAGCATCCAAATTTGCAAGAAACCACAGATAAACATGTGGATATGGAGATTACCATGACTCCACAGACCACTGTGGAGTTTGAACCCATTCCAGTCCAGCAGGACACTCAAAACTTTACAGATGCCACTAAGCAACTTGAACTTTTTCTGACCCAGTCTGGTTCCCCTTCCCAGACTCCACAATTCCCTGAAAATGTTGACTCTTCACCAGTCCAGCCAGAGCCCACAGCTCAGCCTTCTCCAGCTCAATCAGAGCCCATAGCTCAACCTTTTCCAGCCCAGCCAGAGCCCATTATTCTGCCTTCTCCAGCCCAGCCAGAGCCCACAGCTCAACCTCCAGCCCAGCCAGAGCCCACAGCTCAACCTTTTCCAGCCCAGCCAGAGCCCATTATTCTGCCTTCTCCAGCCCAGCCAGAGCCCACAGCTCAACCTTCTCCAGCCCAGCCAGAGCCCACAGCTCAGCCTTCTCCAGCCCAATCAGAGCCCATAGCTCAACCTTTTCCAGCCCAGCCAGAGCCCATTATTCTGCCTTCTCCAGCCCAGCCAGAGCCCACAGCTCAGCCTTCTCCAGCCCAGCCACAGCCCATGGCTCTGCCTTCTCCATCCCTGCCAGAATCCACAACTCAGCTTTCTCCAGCCCAGCCAGAGTCCATAGTTCTGCCTTCTCCAACCCAGCTGTTGTCCACGGCTCAGCCTTTTCCAGCCCAGCCAGAGCCCACGGCTCAAGCTCCAGTGCATTATGAGATGACAGTTCCAATACTAGGTCAGGATGAAGCTCAGTATTCAATGTCCAGAGTCACAATTCAACCTTTGGATCTGGAGCTCCCCATAACCTCCAAACCCACTACAAAGGTTAAAAATTCTCCACCTGTGAAGAAGACTAGAACTCCTCCTCCAAAGCCCCCTCAAGTGACACTTCCACATCCAGTCCAGATTCAGGATCAGCATCCAAGTCTGACTGAAGGCACAATTCAACCTGTGGATCTCCAATTTAGCATAACTGTACAACCTATTACTGAAGATGAGCTTTCTCCAGCCATGCAAGAGACCCCAGTTCAGCTTACAGAGCCCCCTATGGAGGTTGTACCTCAATCCCCAGTACAACAGGAGATGACAATTTCAGTACCAGGCCAGGATGAAGTTCAGTACCCAACATCACCCAGTGTCACATTTCAACCTTTGGACTTGGAATTAACCATAACTACAGAAACCACTACAGGACCTGACCTTTCTCCCATCGTGCAGGAGACACCAACTCAGCCTCCAGAGCCACCTAGAGAAGATGTTGAAGTTCAACCCCCAGTATATCAGGAGGTAACAGCTCCAACCCCAGATCAGGATCAAGTTCAGCATCCAATACCACACAGCACCTCATTTGAAACTTTGGGCCTGGAACTTACCGTAAATCCAGAACCCACTACAGGGGCTAACCTTACTACAGCCCCAGCAAAGCCTACAGCAACCCTAAAGCATCCTGACCAGAATCAGGCTCAGCATCCAAATCTGTCCCAAGTCACAGTTCGACCTTTTGATGTAGAACTTACCCCAACTCCAGAACCCAGTATGGAGGCTGAATATTCTACCATTGTGAAGACGACAACAGCTCCTCCTCCAAAGCACCCTGAGGTGACACTTCCACATCCAGTCCAGAATCAGGCTCAGCATCCCAACCTGAATGAAGTCACAGTTCAACCTTTAGCTCTAGGAGTTGCCTTAACTTCAGAGTCCAAACAGTCTACTACTCTGAAGAAGACAACAGCTCCTCCCCCAAAGGTGGAGGTGACACTTCCACAAGTCACGGTTAAGACTTTAAAGCTGGAGATTACCAAATCTTCACAACCTACCACAGAGGTTAAACGTTCATCTATGCAGGAAACCTCAACTCAGCCTCCAAAGCCAGCTGCAGAGACTAAAATTCAGCCTTCAACATCAGGTCAAGATCAGGCTCAGCATCCAACGTTGGCAGTTACAGAGGCAAATAACACCACAACTCCTCCTCCACAGCACCCTGAGGTGACACCTCCACATTCAGAACAGCTTCAGTCTGGTCTGGAACGTACCACTATTGCACATTCTGTAAATCCCACCACAGAAAGTGCGCTAACTGTGCAAACGGAACCGAATGCCACCCCGTACACCAACATATGTGAGCTCTGTACCTGTCGAGATGAGTCACTGTTGTGTGTTGGTCTCAGCCCAACGCAGAAGCTCCGCCGAGTGCCTGTGCCGAAGCCCAACACCTACAAGAAGGTCCTCACCACCCTGTAAGATCCACCTTTCCTCCCTTGTGCTCTGCACTCTGCCTGCATGGCAGCCTTTTCCTCAAGGTCTTCCTGGGCCTTCCTCATCTCCCCAACCCACACAGACTGTCTGCTTTTACCTTTTGCATATCAACTTTTCCTTGTCGGCATTCTCCTTATTACTATGGTTCCCTTCTCTGTTCTTTAATTCACATTTGCCCTTTCTCTTTTTCCATATCCATTTTTATTCAGCTGCTTCATATCATTGCTTAAACTTTGCTCTCCCGGTTTTGGTCCACCCTCTTTACAACTCATTTCATTAGTGAGGAGTAAGGAGTTGTGAAGAGTTGATTCTGGAACCTGACTTCCTAGGTTTGAATCTAGGTCTTTCATTTATTAACTTTGTACACCTGAGCAAATTATTTAACCCTGTATCTCCATTTCCTCATCTGTGAAATGGGAATTATGATAGTTTCCATTTCATAGGATTGTTGTATGATTTAGATGAGTGAATACATGTAATAGTCATCTGAATACTTAGCATATACATGAATGTTAACTATTAATAATATTATTCAGTCCCTCAGTTATGTCCAGAATTCATCTTTGTCCTTTGATTTTCTATATATTCCATCCATTTTGTGACCAATCCAGGGCTAAGTTCTGTGGGAGCCACAGAATTATGGCATTGCCTCCAGAACACGAAAATGATAGATGCAAAGAAAAGAAAAAGGCATAAAAAGGGGAGATGATATATAATGAAATGCTAAAAGAGAATCAGACTCTGGGAGCTCTAATTCTTCAGAATCTGTAATCACTGAATTGTGGAGGTTATGGAAAACTGTAGGATAAGCTGAAACTTTACTGGAGCTTAGAGAGTGACTGTAATTGTTAAAACAGACTAGGCAAAGGGGTGGCTGCAGCAATAGTCAGGCTTTAGTAGACAAGGCTGCCTGCAAAGAATTGGGTTAGTAAGCAATGAATGATATTATTATGAAAGACCTTGAATATGAAGTAAAGGAGTTTGAAAGTTACAGTGAGATGTGGAGAGTCACTAACTATTTCCAAGGAAGGAGACAAATGATTAAAGCAGGAGGATTTGTTGTTGTTTGGTTTGATTTTGGAGACAAGGTCTTGCTATATATAGCCAAGGCTGGCCTTGAACTCACTCTCCTCCTTCCTCAGCCTCCCAAGCACAGGGAACCAACCATGATTCTGGAGAATTATTTTAGAATCCCTATATAGCATGATCTAGAGGGGAAAGTTTAATTCAAAGAGACCACCTACAAAGCTCTAGCAGAGTGTAGAGGTTAAGTAAGAAGGAGTGAGTCAGAGTTTGTGATGAGAATAGACAGAAAATCCTGGAATTCCCTACATATAAAGTACACAGAGGATTTAGTGACTGATGAAAGAGTTGGGACTAAGACTAAAGAGTTGAGAAAAATCAAACATGGCTCCATAGTTTCTGTCCTGTTAGGATATGGGTACCATGTGGAAAAACAGCGGTCAGGAAGAAGAGCCAGTTGGAGGGAATTGAGTTCAGTTTTAGGCCCTTTTATTGGAAAGAAATTAGAAAGGTTGTGGTTGAGTGGAAATGTCCACTAGGCAGGTGAACCGGCTTCTTCTCCACTCCACCTCCAGAAAAAGTGTATGTAAACTGAACAGGAGAGTGTTGCTGAGGGGTAAGGACAGAATTAAAGGTAAATGTTCAGAGGTATCCAGAGTAAAACTGAACATAAGGTATTTAATAGCTTCTTTTTGGCAGGAGCTGGGGTTTGAACTCAGGGCTTCATGTGTGCAAAGCAGGCGCTCTACTGCTTGAGCCAAAACTCCAGTCCATTGTGCTGTTGTTGTTTTGGTGATGGGGTCTCATGAACTATTTGCCTGGGTTGGCTTTGAAACCATGATCCTCCTGATTTCAGTTTCCCAAGTAGCTAGGATTAAAGGCATGAGCCACTGGAACCTGGTTTAACAGCTTCTTTTAATCATGTGTTACCCGAGGATACATTCCCACTTTTTAAAAGAGTCTCAAAAGCTGAGTGTGGTGGCTCACATGTTTAATCCCGCCACTCCAGAGGCTGAAACAGGAAAGCCTGAACTTCAAGGCCAGTCTTCAATACATAGCAAGACTCTATCTCAAAAAACAAATGGTTGGGGATGTAGTTCTGTGATAGGGCATTTGTCTAGCATTTTCATGTTGCCTAGGTTCAATCCCCAGCACTCAAAAGATCACAGAAGTATATAGGAAAAATGTGAAAGTATGCAGTCCCCCTCATATCCTTTATCACCCACTCTTCCATGCCTACCACCCATAAGATAACCCCTGTTACATACCCCGTGTGTCCTTCCTTCCACTTTCTCTCCTTTGCAGTTTCTCCCTGATGAGGTAATACTTCACTCCTCAGATTTGTGCTTTCCCCTCTGCAACAGAGACCTTTCCACATCATCACATGAGTTCCCCTCATTTCTAACTGTCCTCACCCTTCAGGGATGCACTTCCTTCTTTCTACGTGCTCATCCTTCCTAAGATCACTTAGGTAAAGCTCTGGTGTTAACTTTCAGAGTTTCTTTATTCTTATTTGCTAATAATGATAAAAATTTCCCAATTTTCCTGTGAATTTTTAATTTTTTTCTCATTGATTTGTAGGAGTCAGTTTAAACACAAATGATTTCGGGAAAAATACTTGCATTCAAAGTAATTGACTGGCATTATATATCCAAGAGATTGGACAGGTGGGAGTTAAGCTTCTGATGAGATGTTTCACCATTTGTGTCACTGGTCCCACATTATTTCTTTATTAATTGTGCAAACTGAAAAACTGGGAGTTCTGAAAGTTAGAAAACTGGTGGCTTTTCCTGTATTTGAATATCCCATCCCCCAGGTTGCAGAGATTCTTTCACTTATTCTGCTCATTATTTTCCTACTTATTCAAGGATATAAACTATTTCTTCACAGAAATTTCCATGGAAATGATATTGATTACATTGATAACAATGCATGGAAAGCATATCGTTGGACTGAGAAATTGTGAGTATTTTCTTTCCAAATATGAATACAAAACTGCATTGTAAGAGCCTCCTTGGTCCAGAATTTTGAGGTCAGTATCTCTGAGAAAAAGTATTTCCCCTCCACATCCTGGATTGACCTCTATTGATTGAAATTCTGTGGTTATTTTGAACATTAAATTTCATAGGGACTGGGGGTTATAGCTCAGTGATAGAGGTCTTGCATGCGTGACGCCCTGTAGCCAAAATGAAAAATAAACTTTCATGGTTCCTCTTTGAAGATAATAAGAGGCAATTTAGATTGATTTTCTGTTTTCAAGTGAAATAACAGGTACAGTGAACGCTCTCCTTGTCATAATTCCCCACCATTGAGGTAACCAGTATTCTGAGTCTCGTATCTATCCTTCCAGATCTTTTCCTGTGTATTTGCCTACATGCACATTTATATACAGTAAATAGTTTTATTGAATGATTTTCATATCTTTTTTTTTACATAAATGGTAACATCCTGCCTCTTGAGTCTTTCTCTTCACTATGTCATGTTTCTTTCCTTCCCTGTGCATAGAACTTTCCCTATTCAACTAAACTCCTGCTTAATATTCCATAGTATGGACACATCATGGTTGATTTCACAATTCCTTATTCTTTTTAGAGCATGTCAAGTTTTCTTGTTGCACTTGTGAGCATGGACAAGTATTCCTGTACAATAGGGGTTTAGGAATGCGATGGTTAAGGTGAAGACTATTATAGATAGGGAATTTTAATTGCCCTTCAAAAAGTGGCGCCAACTTACACTCCAGGCAACAGAATATGACAGTACTCATTTCCCCATACCTTTCACCACTTGATACTCTCCATCTTTTTGATGAATTCTGATCCAGATGTAACCTTCCTTCTTCCAGAATTCTCAGTGAAAATCGCCTAACTGAATTACGTAAGGATTCATTTGAAGGCCTGCTGTCCCTCGAGTATTTGTAAGTTAGTCAGTTGATCACATTTATTTGTGAGTTACTATCTATGAAATGTATAAAGGGTTCAAATGAGATAATTTCTGAAATCTCCTCCAGAAGATTACTCCTTATGTAAGTCTGAGTGGGTCTCAGTCCATCCCTGGCACTAAATACTTCTTATGCATTTTCAGATTGCTAAAAGTTATATAGACAAGATACAAATGTAAAAAAAAAAAAAAGAAAGAAAGAAAGAAACTGCACTTACAGCAGAAAACTGGTATTAAGGCCCAAGTGATTATGGTACTCATATGAACCTTGTTTTGTAAGTGTTCATATACTTCTTGTTTTTATATTTAGTCTATAACCCATGGGTCAAATCTAATCCACATGTTTTTGTATAGCTTATAAGTTAAGAATTTTTTTTTTTTACATTTTTAAAGAGCTTATGTCAGTCACTTTTTTGTCACTGCAACAAAATGCATGGGAAAAACTTTAAGGAGAAAAGATATATTTTGGCTCAGTTCAGAGATTTAGCTCCATACCTGCAGTCTCCATTGTTTCTGGGTCTCTGTGAGGCTGTACATCATGGACAAGACTGCTAACCTTATATTAACAAAATGATTAGGCTACCAGGAGAACAGACTAGTATTAATGATTACAATCCAAAAATTGTTATCCCCATTGGTTGATTTTGTTTTGTTTTGTTTTGCTTTTGCAGTACTAGGGTTTTTACTAAGGGCCTAGGTGCCTACCACTTGAGCATGCCTCTAGTCCTTGTTATACCCATGATAAAAATAGATAATTGAAGCTGGGTGTGGTGGTGCACTCTGGTAATCCCTGCACTTGGCAGGTGGAAGCAGAAGAATCTCGAGTTAGAGGCCAGCCTGTGCCACACAGCAAGACCTGTCTTAAAAACAAAGTAACATTTAAAATGATGCTTAAGTGGTTACCTAGAAACATTTACACTTAAGTAAGCCTACCAGAACCGTCCTTAACTTTTTCTTTTCTTTTTTGTGGTACTTGTCTTACTACCTTTGCCTGGGATGGCCTCAAACTTGAGATCCTCTTGCCTCTAAACCCTGAGTAGCTGGAAATATAGCATTACTACCACCCCTGGCTTCCCCTAACTCTTCACTAATTACAAAATAAAAATCTCACCAGCTTTTAGTATTTCTATCTTCAGAGATAACAAGGTACTATGTTCTCTGCCTTGAAAGCTTGATTTTTGTCCTTTGTCCATGGGGTGCAGTCATGTGTACTTCATTAAGCTTATAAATGCTTATATTAATTAGCTTACTAATCTAAGGAGCTTTTTTCAAAGAATTCTCCTTTCAAAAGATGACTTTTGGAAGCAGGCGTAAGGAGCCTTACATGGTACAAAATGTAGTCCTTTGAATTATTAACCCTTCTAGGCTCCAAGGGACCAACCACTTTTGTATTGGTCTATCGGGGCTCCCCTGCCATCTGGACTCCCAAATCTTGCTAACACAGTTTGGAGAAAACCAAATGAAATCACTGCTCAATGGAGTTGGCCTTTGCTAGTTCTGCTTTGAAGTACCTTGTAAGCTAATTATATCACATTATCATGTGTATTCTGCTTCGTCGTTTTAAATTGTACCAATAAAAAAGAGCTAAAATAGAACATGCCATGCACTGTGGTTCCTGGTATGGGAGACACAAAGATGAGTAAGACAGGATTCCTCCCCTTTAAGAACTCATGGGCTCCCAGGGGAAACAAATACATAACCTCAAACCATAATACAGCAGAGGTGCAGAAGAGATTGGTCAGGAAGAAATAAACTGCATTCCTTCTAAGTAGTCATTTTTCTTCTCCTACTCACTCCCCAGCTAATCATTGACTTTACAAACATTTGGCTTTACTCAAATATTTGTGTCATTCTCAAACATGCTGGGCAAGGAGGAGCAAACAAGACCTAGTTCATGCTTTCAAGGAGAAATGGGATGCAAAAATAACCATTAAACCATAAACCACAGAAACATTAAGAGGTAAAAATTGTGTCTAGAGCACAAAAGAGAAGAAAAATCCCTCAAACTGGGTCAGGAAAGTTGTTCCCAGAGCAATACTGCTTGAACAGGACCTTAAAGGGCCACTGGGACTCATCAGAAAGGCAGCTTGGGGAGAATACGCAGTTTGCAAAAAGGAGAGTGGGAGAAAGGCAAAAGGTAAGAAAGTGCTTGAGGAATGCCATGAGCACCTGCAGAGTAGAAGAGAGGGAGAGTAGGAGATTGCATGCAGACCATCTAGGACTGTGAATGCCAAGCAAAGGAGTGGAGATGGGGAACCACATTATCAGAGCCATGCTCTAAGACAACCTTGAGCCTGCTTCAGAATTTCCTGAGGGCTTGTTACAACTTGATTCTGGACACCACCCTCACAGTTGCTAATTCAGTAAGTCTGTAGGAGCCTGAGAATTTGCATCCTTGAAAGTTCCCAGATGGAGGGTGTGGTGGTAAATGCCTGTGATCCCAGCACACAGGATTCTGAGGCAGGAGGATCTCAAGTTCAAGCCCAACCTAGGCTAAGGAGAAAGTTCCAGACCACTGAGCTATATAGTGAAACCTTGTCACAAAAAACATAAACAAGTCAGGCATGGTAGTATACCCCTGTGATCCCAACACTGGGGAGGCTGGGGCAGGAGGATCAAGAGTTCAAGTCAGCCTGGACTACATACTGAGACTCTCTCTAAAAAACAAAACAAAAATTTCCCAGTAATGCTGGTCTTTGAGAACCACTTCTGGAGAGTCTATCTGATAACTATTCAGAAATGATTAGAAAGGGAGAGAGTAGAGGTAGAGATACCAGTGAGGACAATTAAACCCATCCAGGGGAACAGATGAACAGTGAGGGACAAGCTAGAATGGAGGAAGAAGGAGAATTAGCTGTAGTAAAGCTGGGTGTTTTCAAATAAGTATCCAGGTTCATGTTGCTTTTTTGTTGTCCCTATTGGAATATTAAGTCAATATGAAACAAAAAATGAATTTGTATTAACATTATAGGATAATTTTGAATCAGTTCAAAGTCATGCATTAAAGGAGTAACTGCCTTTCAAATGATATGAAAGGGTATCTTTTTTCTGTTATTGAACTGATTAACAATAACAGAATTAAATCAGTAAAGTATATATACATGTATGTGTGTGTGTGATGTGTGTGTGAGACAGAGAAAGAAAGAATGAAAATACTTCTTTTAATATTACCATTACATACAATTTAAAACCTTTCACTCAAAATAAGGAATTTGATGAGAATACAAAAGGTCACATAATCCTCCTGCTATCAGGAAAGATTATCTCTGAAATCTCTCAAGATCTACAGTTGTGTGTTTTATTTATGAAAATCACAAGATGGGATTCTTAGGTGGGAGCAGGATTGGGGCTCTAGAAAGTTCAAATCCAAATCCAAAGGTTTAGAGTTTAGAAAAAATTATATTTTCAGTATTATAGAGTCAGAATTCAATCTTTTTTATTTTTTATTTATTTATTTTTCCACTGTACAACCCACTTCAGTGCCAGCAGCCTATGGAAAGAGAGGCCAGGCAATGGTTCAGGGCTACAGTTTGCTTTGGCATGGGACGCTATGAGGCCCAGGGGGACAGGCCTGCCATAAATCCAAACCCATGCACCAGAATTCAATCTGTTTATGGTAATTAGATATCTAATAGCTAATCATTGCAATTTTTCCTTTATTTTTCCTAGAGATTTATCCTGCAATAAGATACAGTATATTGAAAGAGGGACATTTGAGTCACTACCTTTTTTGAAGTTTGTGTAAGTTACTTCATTATGCCTGAACTCTTGCTATTCATTTTGAAAGATAATTAAAATTTTGCTAGTAGAAAGTTACTAAAATTATATAGCAGGTTCTTTTAGTCTACAGCAAAGATGACTGTGAGAATACAAGTCAGAGTGAATCATTCCACAGCAGTGCTTCTCCATCAGTGTGACTTTACACCCAGGTGACACCTGGTGGCTGGAGATATGCTATTGTCACCTAGTGGGCAGACGATAGGGATGCTGTTAAACATCCTACAGTAGACAAAGAATTGTCCAGCCAAAATGTCAATAGCACTGAAGTTGTGAAACCCTGTTGTAGAGAAATAAAGATCACTTGACCCAGGGAATCACCAAGCATTCACTGTTTTGTATCTAATGCATTGGATTTGTAAATATGAAAGTTTAAATCATAAGCCATTATCATCCACAGCAAGATTTCTTTAACGTATGGAGAAAGTGTTGATATTATAATTCATTGTAAGTTAGAATCACTGCCAAATGATGAGTGTTCTAAAAGAATGTCTTTTTCCTCTCCTTCTCTGGCTTTTTTTTTTTTTTTTTTGTAGAAACCTTGGTTGCAATTTAATTGCAGAATTGAACTTTGGAACATTCCAGGCATGGCATGGAATGCAGTTTTTACACCAAGTGTAAGTGGAATAGAAGAGAAACATGTTTCAAAACTTATTTATGTCTTTAAAAAGAAAACCTCATAACATTACTGTTAGCTGCATATAAACCCTGTATGATTTCTGTGAATAGTATGTCTTGATCCATTTTGTTTCTTCAAATAAGGAAACTAAGGTACAAGAGGTCAAGAGCCTTGTGTGATTTATATATGACATTCTCTGCTTTCCCTAGTACTGATCTTTGGCAGGGGCACTGGAGACACCATGCAAGTAACACTCAAATTGGCACAGTCATGGTCCCCCAATGGTGCCGCTCTGATACGTGAATGGTCCTTGAAGTTCCACTCACAAGCTGAACACTAATTCCTTCTCACATGCAGAGTTCCTAACTGCTTAAATGTTTGCAATATATACCTGCTTTCAAAGAGCCAAATTTAATACAGAATTCTCCAGGAAACAAATGGGTGGTGCTTTCTCAATGTCAGTTTCTTCCAAATGACAAATCAAAAGAATTCCTAAAAACCTGCCACAGGACACCTCTCCCCTCAGAATATTATTTTTGAAGAAAAAGATTATGCTGGCAGAGTGCCTCATACGGTATGAACACCTTCTTAGCAAGTGTGAGGCCCTGAGTTCAAACCCCAGTCCCACCAAAAAAGAAAGAAAAAGATGCTGTTTATCTTAAGCTATATGGTGAAAAATATTCATAAAGGAAACACATTGCTCTAGCCTGTCTCCATATACTTTTTTTTCCTTACTATCTTCAACAAGAAATGTGGGGATTAATACCTTTTCAGCTAAAAATTCTGTAATGTGCTGGGTGCCATAACTCATGCCTGTAATCCTAGATACTCACAAGCATAAATGGGATGATCACAGTACAGTTTATACTTGGACATAAACATGAGATCTTAATGGAAAAATATCTAACATAAAAAGGGTTGAGGATGTAGCTCAAGTCATAGAGCACCTGCCTAGCAAGCACAAGGCCCTGAGTTCAATCCCCACTACCAAAAAAATAATAACAGTAAAAGTTTAAAAATTCTATGCTATTCACCAGGCATTGTGGTACACATCTATAATCCCAGCTCTTAGGAGGCAGAAACAGAAGGATCTTAAGTTCAAGGCTAACCTGGACTACAGGAAGACCCTGTCTCAAAAAAAAAAATCTATGACGTTGAAGAGCCTGAAGGTCATCTGAGACTCGAGAAGGACAAATTTCACCTTGAGTCTCCAAACCTGACTTTGGGAAAGGTCGTCCACCTGCCTTGTGCATCAGAAATCCAGGTTCCCAAGTTCCCTTCTGGTTGGAGGGAGGGTTGAGATGTGCCTGGAGGTGGATTAACTGTTCTTGCAGATGCTTCTGTGCAGCAGCCTCCTTTATCCCTTCACCAATTTGCTGATGCCTAACTTGGAAAAAGAACCCTAGGGGTCTTTGCTGTCCATTCAAAGTATGGATGGGGTAGTGCATCCTCCTTCATGCACCAACTTGTTATCTCTAGTTTCTGTGTTAATCTTCAGAGGAAAAGGCATTTGCTTCTTGATGATGAGAAAATCAGAAGAAATGTGGCATACCTCAGATAGTACAGCACCTATCTAGCAAGCACATGACCCTGAGTTCAAATCCCAGTACAGCCTATTACTAGATTCACCCCTGAGTTCCAGTAAATCTCTTGAGTAAGGACTCTCTATTATTGAAAAACACTGACCCAACAAGTTAGCAGCATGTTAAGGCCCAAATCCACCACAAAGGGGATTTTGCCAAAAGCTCATTAGCAAAGCACCACACTTTGAATAGTCATAGTAATCATATCTCTGTTTCAGATGAAATCAAGAAAGAAACACATTATGGAAAACCAGTAGTGGTTGATAATCCTAAATGTTAAGTGTACTTTCCCTCAACTTTAAAGTGTTTCTCCTTCATTCTCCTACACAGGTCCAGACTGATGTCTTAGTTTTTGTTTGTTTGTTTTGTTTTTATTCATTTATTCATATGTGCATACACTGTTTGGGCCTTTTCTCTCTCCTGCCCTCCCCTTGCTTCCAGGCAGAACCGGTTCTGGCCTTTTCTCCAATTCTGTTGACAAGAAGATATAAGCAAATAATAAGAAAGACAAAACGTTTTTGCTAGTTGAGATAAGGATAGCTATACAGAGAGATTCCTAACATTGCTTCCATGCACAAGTGTATTAAAACCTGAATTGATTCATCTCTACCTAATCTTTTCACTAGTTCCCGATCACCTTCCCATATTGACCTCTGTTGCTTTAATGTTACTGTATTAGTTCCTCTGCAGTGGGGACATCAGACACTTTCAAGTTTTGGGTTTCCTACCTATCCCCATACCTCCTCTATGTGCTTTCCCCTTAGAGTGTGACCCAAGTCCAACAACATTGCTGCATTTGCCTTAGATCTAAAGTCTGCATATGAGGGAGAACATACAATTTTTGGTATTCTGAGCCTGGCTAACCTTGCTCAGCATGATGTGTTAGTTTTTAAAGTTCTTTTAGTTGCTTCATTGGTTCTAACAACACAAACTACACGATTTTAGAAACTGAAGGATTCTATCATGTAGAAAGGATATACCTTATTTGGATAGAGCATTTTCACAGGGCTTGTCTGCCTCTTCAGGATTGTGCCAAGAACACAAAGCACTAAGAGAGACAAAGAGGAAAATCCAGGCTTTGTCCCTATTAAATTGCTTGTTCTACTATTGAGAATATCCATGAAGCAGGAGTGGCCACTCTATGAAGACAAACTGAGCTGCAGTCTCAGAAACACCCTGTTGCTTTCTCCCAGACCGCTAGCATTGGTTCCTATAGATAGCTGTATTTGCCTAAAAATTGGCACGCTTCAGGGTGTGGTCTTCACTTTTGATTTGTACTGGAATCCTGGCAGCTTCTCAGGTTGAGAGAGGCCAAATCATTAAAGATGAAAATAACAGTCAAGTATGTCCTTAAGGATGATTTAGGTTGGCTGCTTAATTTGTAAAAGTTCAAAAGTTTTGAACAATTTTGACCTCTCTTCCTTCTTCCAGCTGCATCTTATTCTTCACACCTGTGCAGCAATCCATCTTCTATTCTTTTAGAAGTTTAGTGATTCTTCCTCTGCTTATAACATTTCTTTTATACCTACATTTATGAGGTTTTGTTATGTTCTTTCTTCATCATTTCACTGATGTCACCATGTGCCATGATTTTAAATCTCTAAATTCTCATGACCACATGAAAAAGGAAATAAAAAAAGGAATTATAATTCTCATAGAGGCTTTCCCAGATAAGCATATGAGGTTTATGAAGTTACTTGTAACCAATTTTTGTGTAAGTAATATACTCTAATAAAGGAAAGATTGCTTAAAAAAAGTTATTTCTATATTAAGTCCTCTCAAAATTAAGTTTAAGGTACAGCTATCTTGAGCCCCTTTTCTTCATACAGGTTAAGCACAGGCTTTGGAGTCAGAACTGAGTTCAAATTCCAGCTTTGCCTATTACCTGCTTGGTGACCTAAGACAAGTCATATAACCTCTCTGTGCCTCAGTTTCCTTTTGTAAATGGGGTAATGATAACATCTACCTCACAAGATTATTGTGATGATTAAGTGTGAAATGATGATAACAGATACCTGGCAGCCCAATGGAAACTAGCTGTAATAGTCATTTGTGTGCTCCACAGAAGTTACACTAATGATTCTTGGTTAGAGTTAATCTAAAGGCAGGTTTTCTTTTCTTCCTATTTCTTTCTTTATGTTCTGTTTTTGTTTGCTTGACTTAAAGAATTGAAAAGAAAACCTAGCCAGCCTTTTGAAGTAAAAATTTATATCAAAAATGAATTTATGCCAGGCACAGTGACATGTGCCTGTAATCAGTTAATGAGAGGCTGATGTAAGAGGACTGTTAGAGCCCAGGAGTTCAAGGCCAGCCTAGGCTACATAGCAAGGCCCTATATCAAAGGAGAGAGGCAGGGAGAGGGGGAGGAAGGGAAAGAGAGAGAATAAGTTTATTCATCTCATTGATATGCAAACAGAATGTTACTTATTTATGCAATAAACACTTGTTAAATACCTAGTAAATTTCAGGCTCTATGCCAGGCACAGGGATGATAATAACAATAAGGTGTGGTCCCTAACTTAACCTGCTGATAGTTTGGGTGACTGACAAGTAGACAAATGATTGATTACCTGCAGTGTAACAAAGGCTGTGATGTGACTGAAGAATACAAGTGAGAGTATGGGATGGGAGCATGGCTTTAACCAGTTCAAATCAAGGAATTGGTCCTAGTTCTTCCTTAACTGAGTGAATTAGATCATGAGTTGTTTTACATTCTAAATTGAAAGACAAGCAACCTCGTGAATTATGGAGGACCTAAATATACTGTTTCCTATAGGGCAGGGCTCCCTACCAGTGTGGTCACTTCAAGAGTTTCTGACCTGAAAGTTCTTTGGCATATTTTTTTTTCTACTTTTCCTCCTCTTTCTTTTCTCCACTTTATTTTTTGGAGACCTGGGTAGTCCCAAAGGAAGAATGTTTATGGGTTCTAAAAGTGATTTGTAGGTAAAGACAGAAAATGATTTTTAACCCATAATTTTCATACAAAAATGAATACAAACTTTTCATGTTGTCTCATACATATTGAAAATGACCACTTTAGTTCCATTGCATTTTTCAGAATTCTCAGTCGTAATCCTCTGACAACTGTCGAAGATTCACATCTTTTTAAATTGCCAGCATTAAAATATCTGTAAGTATTGCAATAATTTTTATGAGTCATGAGATGATTTCTGTTCTTGTTTGCTTTCATCAAAGGTTAAGTCATCATTTTAGTTTTAACTAGGTAATTGAAAAAAATGTTATTGGCAAAGGAAAGGATTAAAATGAACAAGACAGCCAGCCAGGGAAGAACACATAGAAATACTCAACATGTAAACACAGGTAGAAATATCATTTATTCCTCAAAGCAAAGAGTAAAGGATAGGAGTGAAAGCAACATGAAAATGAGAAGGAAGATAATGGTTAGAAAAAAGACTTAGGCTCTAGTCAGTGCCAAAGTCATTAATTTGATGATGCAAACAGTAAACTTAAATTTCTTCAATAAGAGTAATTATCTTATGTGACAAGGTCGTGAAATGGCTTGTTTCATGGGGAAGTCAAACCTGAACTAATAACATTTCCTTGAAAGGTCTTTTTAAGTACACACTGTCTGTGTTGGGGTTCATCATGAATGTGTGCTTTCTCTCTCAGGGACCTGGGAAAAACACAAGTGCGACTTGCAACACTTGAGAACATCCTCCTGATGACTCTTAAGTTGGAAAAGCTGTAAGTTAGTTTTTCTTAGACTTATGTATCACTTACTTTTCTTTGCTTTGCTTGAGTAATTTCTTAAGTCAGGTTTATTGAGATTCCATTTCCATGCAATAAAATTCATACTTTTTTTTTTGAGGGATTGGAGTTTGAACTCAGGGCTTTGCACTTGCTAGGCAAGTGCTAGGCTCTACCACTTGAGCCAAACCTCCCGAATTCACACTTTATAAGACTACAGTTTGATGGGTTTGCATAGCTTTGTAATCACGACCCCATTCCTATTATGGAATGATCTTGTCATCCCCAAAACCCCTCATGGCCTTTTGGAGTCAGTCTACTTCTCCCACTGCTAGTCCCTTGCAACTATCAAACTTTTTTTTTTTTTGGTGGCACTGGGGTTTGAACTTGGGGCCCTGTGCTTGCTAAGCAGGCATGGAGCCACTCCACCAGCCCTTTTTCATGATTTTTTTTTTTTTTTTGAGATAGGGTCTCTCAAACTACTTGTCTGGGCTGGCCTCAAACTGAGATCCTCCTGACCTCTGCCTCCTGAGTAGCTAGGATTACAGGCATGAGCAACCAGCACCTGACTTTTTGAGCATTTTATAAATGGAATCATATGGTACTTTGTGTTTGGCCTCTTTTACTTAGCACATCCCACTGGCAGTGTAAAAGAGTTACATTTTCACCTGATCTTTGTATTTCAGTTTCTTTTTTAAATTTTAGCCTTTTTTACTAGTAGGTGTGCAGAGGTGTTTCATTGTTGTCTTCATTTCCATTTCTTTAATAGCTGATGACAGTGAGTGCATTTATGTGCAAGTGTCTGCTTTACTGTAGTGTCTGCTCAAATCTGCTCTCAAGTTTTAGTTGGATATTTATCTCCTTCTTTCTGAGCTTTAAGAGTGCTTTACATACTCTAGATCCAGGTCCTTTCTCTCAGATATGTGCTTAGTAAGTATCTTCTCTCTGGTTGTGGCTTGTCTTTTCATGCCACTGTCTTCTGAAGAGCAGATGTTTTAAATATTTAAATTTTGATGAACTCTAATGTAGGAAGTTTTTCTTGTATGGTTTGTATTTATGTGTGTATGTGTGTCTTACCCAAGAAATCTTTGTCTAAGAACTTGTTGTCACTGGACAAGGTGGCTCACACCTGTAATCCAACATACTTGGGAGGCTGAGAATAGGAGGATGAAGGTTCAAAGCCAGTCTGGGCAAAAATTTAGTGAGAACACATCCCAATGAGTAAGCCAGGTATGGTGATACATTTCTGCAATCCTAGCTATACCAGAGGCTGTATGTAGAAGGATCAAGACCTCAGGCTGGCCCCAGGCTAAAACATGAGACTCTATCAGAAAAATAACTACAGCAAGGCCAGGTGTGGTGGCTCATACGTGTAATACTAGTTACTTGATGTTAGAAATATCTTTAAGGTATTGGGATGTCAGGAGACAGAGGACACAACTCAGAAGTCAACAGGCAAGGCAAAATTTACTTCTGCAGAAGGGTGAACCATAGACAAAAAGCTAGCTGGATTTTATGTCTAATGCAATGCTGCCCCTCCCCTGAATTGGGCAGGTTTTGGGGTCATAGTCTACATAGTTGGCTAATTGGAAAGAGGACATTGGGAAGGGGCTTTGAAGACAAAGAAGTTTAAAAGTTTAAGGAAGCAGTAACTGTTTTAGGTTATCAGCTCTGGAATCAGGGCATGTAGTGGAATTTTGTCCAGCTGAGGATAACCACCCTTTGTTCTTTTTTTATTGTTCTTATATTTATTCATGTGTATACATTGTTTGGGGCACCTCTTCCCCCTTCTTCCCCTCCCTCCCTTGCTTCCAGGCAGAGTCTGTTCTGCCCTCTTGTTCTCCAGTTTTGTTGAAGAGAAAACCTAAGAGATAAGAAAGACAAAGAATTTTTGCTAGTTTGAAATAAAGATAGCTATACAGAGATTCCTAGCATTGCTTCCATGTACATATGTATTACAACCCACAGTGGTTCATCTCTACCATACCTCTTCACTACTTCCTGGTTACCTTCCCATAGTGGCCTCTGCCAGTTTAAGATTACTTTATTCACTCCTCTGCAGTGGGCACATCAAACACTTTCAAGTTTTAGGTTTTCTTCCCTTTCCCTATTTCTCCTGTATACGTTCTCCCCTTTGCATGTGACCCATGTTGAATAATATTACTGCATTTGTTTTAGGGCTATAGTCTGCATATGAGGGAGAACATAAGATTTTTGGCCTTCTGAGCCTGGCTAACTTTGCTTAAGATGATGTTCTCCAGTTCCATCCATTAACTTGCGAATGACAAGATTTCATTATTCTTTGTGGGTGAATAAAATTCCATTGTTTATAAATACCACAATTTCTTAATCCATTTGTTGGTAGTGGGGCATCTTGAATGTTTCCATAGCTTGGCTATTGTGAATAGTGCTGCAATAAACATGGGAGTGCAGGTGCCTTTGGAGTAACCTGAGTCTCATTTCTTCAGGTATATCCCTAGAAGTGGTATGGCTGGATCATATGGCAGATCTATGTTAGATCTGCCTCCATATTGTTTTCCAGAGTGGTTGCACTAGCTTGCATTCCCACCAGCAGTATATGAGGGTTTCTTTTTCCCTGCAGCCTCGCTAACATTTGTTATTGGTGGTGTTCTTGATGATAGCTATTCTACGTGAGTGAGGTGGAATCTTAGTGTGGTTTTGATTTGCATTTCCTTTATGGCCAGGGATGGTGAGCATTTTTTCATGTGTTTTTTTGGCCATTTGGACTTCTTCCTTTGAAAAAGTTCTGTTTAGTTCAATTGCCCAATTCTATATTGGTTCATTGATTTTGGGGGAGTTTAGTTTTTTGAGTTCTCTGTATATTCTGCTTATCAGTCCTTTGTTTTTCTTATTGTCTCTTAGGTTTTCTCTTCAACAAAACTGAGAACAAGAGGGCAGAACGGGCTCTACCTGGAAGCAAGGGGCGGGGTGTGGGGGGGCGGGAAGAGGTGCCCCAAACAATGTATACACATGTGAATAAATGTAATAGCCAGAAAATATCTTCTCCCACTCTGTGAGTGGTCTCTTCAGTTTAGAGACCATTTCTTTTGTTGTGCAGAAGCTTTTAAATTTCAGGTAGTCCCATTTGTCCATATTTTCTCTTAGTTGCTGGGCTGCTAGAGTTCTATTGGGGAAGTCCTTGCCTGTATCTATTGCTTCCAAAGTATTCCCTGCTGTTTCCTGTACTAACTTCAATATTTCAGGTCTGATATTAAGTTCATTAATCCACTTTGAGTTGATACTAGTACAGGGTGATAGGCATGGATCTAGTTTCAGTTTTCTGCAGGCAGATAACCACCTTTCCCAGCAACATCTGTTGAAGAGGCTGTCTATTCTCCATCACATGTTTTTGGCACCTTTGTCAAAAATAAGATGTGCATAGCTGTGTGAATTCATATCCAGGTCCTATATTCTGTTACATTGGTCTTCATATTTGTTTTTGTGCCAGTGCCATGCTGTTTTTATTGCTATAGCTCTGTAGTATAGTTTGAAGTTGGGTATTGTGATACCTCCAGCATTGCTTTTTTTGCTGAGTATTGCCTTGGCTAGTCACGGTCTTGGTGTTTCCAAATGAACATTAGGGTAGATTTTTCAATCTCTTTGATGAATGTCATTGGGATTTTGATGGGAATTGCATTAAACATGTAGATTGCTTTTGAGAGTATAGACATTTTTACTATGTTGATTCTACCAATCCATGAGCATGGGAGATCTCTCCACTTTCTATGGTCTTCTTCAATCTCTTTCTTCAGAAGTTTATAGTTTTCCTTGTAGAGGTCATTCACATCCTTTGTTAAGTTTCCACCTAGGTATTTGATTTTTTTTTGAGGCTATTATAAATGGTATTGTTTTCATATATTCTTTCTCAGTTTGTTCATTATTAATGTATAGAAACGCTAATGATTTTTCTATGTTGATTTTATATCCTGCTACCTTGTTATAGCTATTGATGGTGTCTAGGAGCTTTTGAGTAGAGTTTTTTGGGTCTTTAAGGTATAGGATCATATCATCTGCAAATCGGGATATTTTTACAGTTTCTTTACCTATTTGTATTCCTTTTATTCCTTCTTCCTGCCTAATTGCTCTGGGTAGGAATTCCAGTACTATGTTGAATAGGGGTGGAGATAGTGGGCATCCTTGTCTGGTTCCTGATTTTAGAGGGAATGGTTTCAGGTTTTCTCCATTAAGTATAATGCTGGCTGTAGGTTTGTCATATATGGCTTTAATAATGTTGAGGTACTTTCCTTCTATTCCTAGTTTTCTTAGAGCTTTTGTCATGAAATGGTGTTGGATCTTATCAAAGGCTTTTTCTGCATCTATTGAGATGATCAAGTGGTTTTTGTCTTTGCTTCTGTTAATGTGGTGTATTACATTCATTGATTTTTGTATGCTGAACCACCCCTGCATTCCTGGGATGAAGCCTACTTGGTCATGGTGAATGATCTTTTTGATGTGTTGTTGAATTCGGTTTGCCATTATTTTATTGAGGATTTTTGCATCAATGTTCATTAAGGAGATTGGCCTATAGTTCTCCTTTTTGGAGGTGTCTTTGCCTGGTTTTGAGATAAGTGTAATACTGGCTTCATAAAATGTGTCAGGCAGTTTTCCTTCCCTTTCTATTTCGTGGAACAGTTTAAGGAGGGTTGGTATCAGTTCTTCTTTAAAGGTCTGATAAAATTCAGCAGAGAATCCATCAGGTCCTGGACTTTTTTTGGGGGGGGAGACTCTTGATTGCTGCTTCAATTTCATTTGTGTTATAGATCTATTCAGGTGTTTAATGTCATCTTGGTTCAGTTTTGGATGATCATAAGTATCTAGAAATTTGTCCATTTCTTTAAGATTTTCAAATTTATTTGAATATAGGTTCTCAAAGTAGTCTCTGATGATTCCCTGGATTTCCGTGGTGTTTTTTATTCTCTCCCTTTTTTCATTTCTGATTTTACTGATTTGGGTCTTTTCCCTCCACATTTTAGTTA